AGCGCTGCTGTTGGCGCCGCGGGCAGCAGCGAGGCAGACGATTTGCTGCTGCTGCTGCTGCTGCTGCTGCGTTGTTTGAGTGCAAGGATTTCTCCTGCTGCTGCGCCCGCAACTACAAACGCAGCAGCAGCAGCACCTGCTGCTGCAGGAGTGAAGCAGCAGCCGCAGCTCGGGCGTACGTCCACCCCATCAGGGAGAGTATACGTCTCCAGCGTGAGGCTGTTAGACACCTGCAGCAGCAGCAGCAGCAGCAACAGCAGCAGCAGCAGCAGCAACAGCAGCAGCAGCAGAAGATGAAGAAGCAGAAGCAAACATGTATGCAAATGCTAACAGCAGCACACGCATATGGACGGCCGTGAAGGCTGCTGGGATCAGCAGCAGCAGCAAAAAGCAGCGGTAGCAGTAGCAGCAGGAGCAGCAGCAAAAGCAGCAGCAGAACCAGCATCAGCAGCAGGAGCAGCAGCAGTATAATATCAGCTGCGGGAAAGGCAGGAGCAGCAACCGCAGCAGCACTAGCAGAAGCAGCAGTAGCAGCAGCAAAAGTAGCAGCACCAGCAGCAACACCAGTAGCAGCAGCAGCAGCAACAGCAACAGCAACAGCAGCAACACCAGCAACAACACCAGCAGCACCAGCAGCAACAGCAGCAGCAGCAACACGCACTGCTATTTTGGCTATCGTGCCGTCGGCAGTCCACAGATATTCTGCCGGCCCCACAGCCGTCCCATCGCAGCAGCAAGGCAGCAGCCGAGCAGCCCTTGTGCTGCTGCTGCTGCTGCTGCTGCTGTCGCTGCTGCTGCTGCTGCTGCTGCTGGATTCCACAGCTGCTACGCAGAAGGCAGCCACAGACTGTGCATTCGGAGGTTCTGCTGCTGCCGCCGCGCCAGCAGCAGCAGCAGCAGCAGCAGGAGCAGCAGCTGCTGCAGCTGCAGCCTTGCTGCGGTGCTTCTTGGTGGTCTTGGTGGATTCTCCGGCGCTGCTCATCCCCATGATCCTGCTGCTGCTGCTGTTGCTGCTGTCCCGCCTGCTGCTGCTGCGGCTGCTGCTGCTGCTAAGCTGAAGCCCGAATCCTGCAGTGAAGCTGCTGCCTCCGTTGCTGCTGCTGCTGCTGCTGACGATAACGCTCAGAAAGAACGAGCCTTCTGCATAGAAGGAACTCTTGCTACTGCGTCTGGTGCTACCGTGCTGCTGT